TGCTGATGCAGGAGTTTTCAGCTGCAGCTCCCCAGCCTTCTCATCTTTTCCTTGTCCCAAATATGTCAATGCAAGATTATTCATGCTGGCCAAGGTATCTGGATGTTCTGGCCCCAGTACTCTTTTACGCAGATCCAGGACTTTCAGCTGCAGCTCCCCAGCCTCCTCATATTTTCCTTGATTTGAATATATCAATGCAAGATTATTCATGCTACCCAAGGTATCTGGATGTTCTGGCCCCAGCACTCTTTTACGCAGATCCAGGACTTTCAGCTGCAGCTCCCCAGCCTCCTCATCTTTTCCTTGTCCCGAATATGTCAATGCAAGATTATTCATGCTACACAAGGTATCTGGATGTTCTGGCCCCAGTACTCTTTTACGCAGATCCAGGACTTTCAGCTGCAGCTCCCCAGCCTCCTCATATTTTCCATCATTTGAATATATGATTGCAAGATTATTCATGCTACCCAAGGTATCTGGATGTTCTGGCCCCAGCACTCTTTTACGCAGATCCAGGACTTTCAGCTGCAGCTCCCCAGCCTCCTCATCTTTTCCTTGTCCCAAATATGTTGATGCAATATTATTCATGCTGCACAAGGTATCTGGATGTTCTGGCCCCAGTACTCTTTTACGCAGATCCAGGACTTTCAGCTGCAGCTCCCCAGCCTCCTCATATTTTCCTTGATTTGAATATATCAATGCAAGATTATTCATGCTACCCAAGGTATCTGGATGTTCTGGCCCCAGCACTCTTTTACGCAGATCCAGGACTTTCAGCTGCAGCTCCCCAGCCTCCTCATATTTTCCTTGTCTCAAATATGTCAATGCAAGATTATTCATGATACACAAGGTATCTGGATGTTCTGGCCCCAGTACTCTTTTACGCAGATCCAGGACTTTCAGCTGCAGCTCCCCAGCCTCCTCATATTTTCCTTGCCTTTGAATATGTCAATGCAAGATTACCCATGCTGATCAAGGTATGTGGATGTTCTGGCCCCAGTACTCTTTTACATAGATCCAGGACTTTCAGCTGCAGCTTCACAGCCTCCTGATATCTTCCTTGGAATAAATACATTACTGCAAGTCTACCCATGCTGATCAAGGTAGCTGGATGTTCTGGCCCCTGCTTCTTTATCCCTATTTCTACAATTTTATATTGAAAATATTCTGCATCTTTCCACATTCCATTTTGATCCAACACATAACTAAACTTAGAATATTCCTTATCATTAAACACTCTTTCAAAGCCATTTTCCTCCTGTGACTGGTAAATGGCTTTGATGTGTGGCACAAGAAGCCTGTTGAATGTAATGTTCTCAGCTGTCATCTCCTTTGTAATACAGTTTACAAGGATCAATTTTGACACTTGCATCATGCACTTCTTTTGAGATATTGACATTCTATCTCTACTCCATTGATGCATCAATGGATGAATTGCATAAATTCCTGGAGAGGTTGATTGCTGCTTGATTAAAGAAAATGACATAAGCACCCTAATTCCTTCATGAAAGAAGAATTGATTCCAAGACTGATCTTGTTCAAGCTGAAGCAATTCACTGATGCAGGTTTTAACTTTTCGTTCCAGTTTACCATGCTGTCCTTTGGAGAACTCAATAGCAGCTTTTCTAAAAGCAGCCTCAATGATATTCTCATGATGCAGAAATGCAGCTGTTTCCAGAATAAGAACAGCAGCCTGAGCAGCTGCTCTACCATGTCTACCAGATTTCTTGCTTGCCCTTGATTCAATCTTATTGAATGACAAATCCCATGTTTCATAGACTGTACGATTGTACTGAGAAGCACCCCTGAATGAAGGATGGTTCATAAGCTTGTTCCTGTGTTGAGAGAGATGCTCAAGATAATTATGAATACTGCAGAGACCAGCTTCAATGGAAGCTCCTGCTTGATCAACAGCTAGAGGCATGCAGCAGAGCTCATGTACAATTTGTTGAGCTGTGCTGTAGACATCCTCAGAACACCCAGTTAGATGGCTGGCTTTCAGCAAAAGTGATATGGCTTCCTTTTCAGCCATTTGATTAACCTCAAGTGAATTTTCATAGGATGTCACCCGCCCCAGAGATCGATTTCTGCTAGTAACCAGAATATTTCCCTGAGAGCCAGATGGGATAAATTTTTCTACTACTTCAGGTGCACCATCAGCATTGTCAAATACAAGCAGCCATTCACTCTGCAGAGATCCAATCCAGAGAAGAGCAGACTCAGAAGACACAGAGACACCAGCAGCTTTAGCATCAGGGTGAGAACAAAGACCCTTTAACCCAAGGACAATGGTATCTTCAGAAGATGCATCAATCCAGAAAACATGAGAGAACCTACATGCACTTGTCAGAAGATCAGAAATATTGTATATGAAGAAACTTACCTTTCAGCCATCTTTTCAACAAACTTCAAACAAATCTGTGTCTTGCCAATACCCCCCATACCATACAACAAAAAAGACTTCCTGCTTCTATCTACTTCATCTTGAAGTGCAAAGTGATCCATCAGCATCTTGAGAACATCTTTACGGCCTGTGAATAAGGCACTTGAATTGGGTCTTTGTGGAACAAGGAGTGTATCATTTTGACCCCCAATGACATGTTCATGGACCTCAATCTTGTAAGTCTCATCAATATCTCAAACAATCAAAAGCTGTTGTCACACTACACACATTTTGAGCGACATAGAGTGTTGCATCCCTTATAACGAAGTTGTGAGCTCCCGGGAATACATTCTAGGATTCCCAAACACAAAAGGCATGAGCCAAAGAATTTATTCACGCATTATAAACACTCACCAGAGACGTTCCTCCCCCCGTAACCTCTGGCACCCTTGTAAATGTCGACCTAAATCTCGTCAGCCACTATCTGCCAGCGTGGGAGTCATGAACTCCAACCTCGAACCGCTAGGGCGTGAGCCTTCGTTACGTGGGCGGTCGGCGCCCATGAGCCGGTCAAGCATTCCCTTGAACTTTCCTTTCAAACGATTTTCACGAGGGCGATTAGAATCAGACATCGTGGTTCAGAAGAGAGTTGTGAATGCTGTGCGGCGTCAATTTTCCGGATGGGTAACGGTTTCACAGAGTCAGCTGACGTTCCTACTGACGACGTTTGCGTTCTCTTTCTCCACTACCAGGTTGAAGCCGCGCATATAACCACCTCCAATGTTCCCCACGCCGCCTGCCTCATTTTTGAAATCTTAGGACTATTGATATTGTACGCATATAGCCACCCCCGAACTTCCCCAACCCACGGTACGGGCTCCTTCTTTCTTTTCGTCTTGCAACGAGGAGAATTGTTATCATAGATCGGGACTATAACCTGCATTGCGGGAATTCGCGGCTCTCGAAGCTGACGCTTCACATTCTCCATTCTCGCAAAAGGCCGCCTGCGTTCAGCATGCGAGAAAGTCCAAAGGCGCTTCCAGGAACGCCAACTGGAGTTTATAGAATGGGATCAGCTGGTTGATCTACATGCTTGGCTTACGGGACATACAGACATTGGCATCTATCACGGACACCTCTCCCCGCAGGCCTAGGGCATCTGCAGAAGAACTTGACACTCCGATCTCTGCCACTTTTCAGTTCCTCTCATCAGTTCTTGCACCCGACGGGCCACGGCGAAAGAACCTAGGCCCTTGCAAGTGGGCGTGACGACTAATGGGGAGGGGTGTCGATAAGCATCTAGGATTGCGAGGTAGTGGTCAGATTGCCCAAGGATGTGGGGTGTGCGGTGCAGAGCGTAGGGCGGATGAGAGGTCCAAGGCCATGAACCATCGATGCAGACGAAGTGTCCGAAGAGGACACTGGTGTACTCATTCTCAACCGCCCCGTTAAACAACGAACTCGAGACTGCCTGAAATGTGTCACCCAAGTGAGCGAAGAATGGCCCCTCTCCAAACTAGCTAGCCTCTTGGACCAAGATATGGCTCAAGCTGACGTCGGACAAACCACCACTCACTCACTCCCTCTCAACCACCTCAAACTCGGCCGAATCATCCTGTTGGGCTCTGGGCACGGACATCCCACCCTCCTCAACCACCAAATACTCACTATCCACGCGGACCTCTTGTTGGCAGACAAATTCGTCCCGCAGGACGTGCTAGATCTCATACTCAGCAAAGACAGAACTCGTCATCGCGGAGAAGTTCCCAGGAATTTAGACAAAGGCGGTGAAGAGATAATACTTCTCGCTGTGGGAGGCGCGCGGAAGGGGTTCGCGTATGTTTTTTCCCTCTCAACATCTGTCTTGTCACGAACTTGCTCCCACTTTGAAGTTAAATTAAGGTGATCCCTCTAGAAGCGACCACTCCTCTGAAGAGGTGGCTCAAGCTCGCAACATTTATCAAAGTAACTCCGGCATCTGTACCCTGCTCCCACCCCACACAACCGATACAACTGAACGTTGACCCGGCCAAGGCGGATGAAACACCTGAAACGATGAGGGAGTTGCAAGAGGTTTTTGATGCGGTTTTGGGTGTTTCTTCGTTGACAGGACCTACTCCGGCGTCTACGTCCAAGACATCTACATCTTTCACCACCACCATAAAAACGACAACGGCAGCAGCCCCATCATACACCTAAACTTGCTACCCACCAGAAAATCCTACGTTCTTCCACCATATACGTCTACCCAGCATCGTCTAGAATCCGAATCTTTACCCCCTTGGGTTCCAACCTGCGCTATCAGTTAGGGTCTCCCGATCCGAACATCTTCACGTCCAGAGTGCCGTGCCAGTGTTCTAATCGCCCATGTGCAACGCAAGTGCTACCTGAGCAGCTCTTGTTTAATTCGACGTTTTGTTCACGGTAACGGACGAGAGCCCAAACCACTCCTTCATGATCATCCTCTGGCCTCCTTGCGCCTCCACCCTTCGTCTTGTTATCATAACTCATCTTGACCATCTATTTCGGTTTGCCATCACCTTTCCTCCTTGTATTCCGGTTACATCTCACCACTTCCTCATCCTACTCGTGGCCTTCTACTCATGACTCGTTCCTTCTACTGTTTGTCGTAATCCACCTTGGCCGTCGTTGGCAGGATACCCTCTCCCCGCCCTTCCTCCATTCTGTACCGGCCCTTTCTATCGATCAAGATTTCATTTGAATCGGAGGGCCCCTCGTATGGCAATGCTGCATCCCAATCTCCGCAATCGCTACCTTGAACCCGCCAAGTTCGAGGTATTGTATACGGTAATGGACAGGAGCTCAAACCACACACCTTCCGTAAAGCACTCGCAGTCTCCACCGCCATTCATCTTGGCCTTCTCGTTGTGCCTCGTTTTTACACCTGTGGTGGTACCCTATCTCGACAATCGATGAGATTCATGGCGTTTGGCCGCTGGCAGTACTCCCTAAACCACACTACCTTTTTTCTCCTTGCATCCCGATCTCTACTATCGGTCGAGGTTTCCCAGTCCGAATGACGCACCCAAACATGTGCGACGTGCTGCCCCATGTCAAGAGGCTCGATGTTCTGTTCGCGTTAATGGACGACCACGCATCTTGTGAGGCAGTCACAGCTTCCCCTTGGCCTTCTCAAGGCTCATTTCTTGCGCTTGACATCTCATTCCATCGAACGATTTGTCTTTGCCGGTACTTCCTAGATTTGCTCGAATCTTTTTTCGCAATCAAACCGATCGCTCCTGTGTGGTGTACTGCGCGCTACCTTGAACAGCCTACTTCCCCAGTTGAATGTTCCTTTCATCGCCAACCCACCCACCTCCCCAAGCACGGACAGCAGCCTCTTGGAAGGTGGCTTGCTGGACAGAGGCGACGTTTTCCATGTTTACCCTCACTACTTCATGACCATAACAAGGCGGTATTCCAACAAGAAACCTATCTCCTATGAACGCGCGCCATTGGCCTGTCATACACCATCTCCGCTATTGGCCCGTCATACACCATCTCCGCAGTGTGACCGTCCAATACTAGTACTGCTATTACAGTACTATGGTTTGCCCGAGGTCCCCTTCGAACCACCGAGCTCACGATCAATCAGGTACTGCACCAAATAGGCTTCTGAGGTGCAGCCTGACGTGGATCACAAGTTGCGCCTCGACTGGGTCGTCCATCCACCCCGTACCGCTTCCTGGCTAACGCACCATTCTTCCTCCAACCTAGTCTTGGCGCTTCCGAGCCGGACCCCGACTCGGCTTCTTGGAGCTCAGCTCCAAGGGTCCAACCCCAATTTAACCCTTCGAAGTTCCTGACTAATTTTGTCTTCCGACTCGGACTCGCGCTTACCTTCGTGCCCTTCTTGTTCTGAAATGGGCGTACTTTGTGTGGAGTTCCATGTAGTACTGGTGGGCTGTGTAGTTTCATGCAATCCTTGCGGTGCTCACAATGTACATCGTTTGCGATCGAGTTATATTGAGGTATAAAACAAAACAGATATTATGTAAAAGAACCGTAAGCCAAGCGAGTGAGTCTCAGGTCTGGATTGTGAGATGGTGGGATGGAGAGTAAGCATATATATATAAAGACAGAGAGGGCGGCCAATTGCAGAAGGATGCATATTAAAAGAAGGAAGCTGCGGGAGGACGTAAGAAGGTAAGTAGGTCGAGACCAATCGACTACCTGGCCAAACTCGCAAAGAATATTAACAAAACAAGGAAAAGAAAGGGACAGAGTTGGTGGTGTAGGCTGTTAAAAAACCATTGAACATTGAAAGAGAAAAAAGATATGGTATTCAAAGATGGGGATAGTAAACTAACACGGCTTGCTCGAATGAAAAATGGGGTGGGTAAGGGTGTGACCAGGGACGCAACAAGTTCGTTCGATGGGTGGTGGGTTGGGTTCGTGTTTGATACAAAGAAGACGCGGGGGATGGCAGGGGGGTAGGTATCATTATAGCAGGGGTGTTGAGTTGGTTGTGGGTAAAAGCAATCGCCATGATTCGGAAGAAAGAGAACAAGGAAGACGAGAGGAAGGCAAGAGGGCACGAAGGTTTACAGCAGCCCACATTCCCGTAGATGGAGCTGAAGTAATATATCTTGAATCGCCCTCAACACAACTATTCATTCAAATCCCAATCAGCCAAATCATCTCAAAAAAGAGGGAAACAAGAGGGGAAACGTACACTTGATCTGCTGCGTATCCGTAGCACACGTATAATGCGCATAAATCTGCTTAGTAGCCGCACTCTGGTTGAGGGAGACGAAGCGGTGCAAGAGGTAGTCGCATGCGGCGTCGTAGTTGTCGCCGCCTGTGTAGTCTGGGAAGTAGTCGCCTAATGGTGAGCGCGGGAGTTTTTCGGCGAAGAGGTCGATTTTGTTTAGGAAGAGAATCTATGGGGGTGTGTCAGTGCGAGAGGAGAGGGAAAGAGGGAGAGGACGTACGATTGATGTTTTGACAAACCATCGCGAGTTGCATATCGAGTCGAAGAGGGTGAGCGCTTCTTGCATGTGGTTCTTTAATGGTAATGGTTGTGAGTGGTAAGAAGAGAAAGAAGAAGAAAAAGAGAAGGAAACATACCACACTCTCATCCTCATACAACATCTGATCATACTCTCAAACTAACCAAAAACACCAGCATCGTCACATTCTCAAAACAATGTAGCCACTTCTTCCTCTCACTCCTCTGCCCACCCACATCAAACAACTTGTACGTCAATTCCCCCACTTTAAACGTCGTCTCCGTAATTCCCGTCGTCTTCACCCTGCTCCGTAGGATATCCTGGTCGGTAGGGATGTCATTCGTAGCTGCCATACGGTCGATCGAGTTGAAGTAGTACACCGCTAAATCGTTCAGCTGGAACTCCCGGGAACGACGCACGGCTTCTTTGACGCCGGGGTCACGCCAGAGGGAGCGCACGGCGTCGATGACGTCTCGTGGGAGGACGTCTGCTTCGATTTGCATGGGGAGGGCCATGATGGTTGCGCGGCGGGCGTCGTTTTGCGGTGTGAGGGTTAGGTCGAGTTGTGGGAAGGCTTCGAGGATTGCCCTTTGTGTCCGATGTTGGTTAGCCTACGCAGACACATACAACGAGATGGGAGGGAAACGGACCGCATTGACTGGATGGTGTTTGAGAAGATGATCTCCTTGTACGAGTCCCTTTCGGAATCTTTCCGATTTTCGAGAACTGAAGGTAGCACCATCAGTATCGGTAAGGGTAGAGCGAAAATGAAGCATGGAAAATGAACTCCATAAACAGATCACGAAGGTAATCCAATCAAAGCTAAGGGACGAAGAGTGAAGACCTGTGCCTCGAGAAACACGAACGGCAAAGGCTGGGCAGCAGCGGGGGATGGGGGAAACGGAGCATCTAGGGACTCAGAGTGTTGGATGAATGTCAAGGTGAAGCACATGGCCATTGCACCTCGAAGTCAGAGAAATAGAGTGGGGCGCGAAATCGAGGAAAAGGAAACGAATGGAAGGCATAACGGAAGAAAAGGTTCATAATGACCAAACATGAACCCCATCATGGGGGGCAACCAAAATCAAGACACCAAGTGACCGAGCCTTGAATGACAACAGCAAAAACATACCTGGAGTTGTTCGATCGTCATGCCTTCGTAGTTTTCCACTGTCTTGAAAAGGTCGTTGAGATTTGGCATTTCCTGTGAAACAAAGTGGGTCAGCATCGGCTGGGATGGTAGGACCGGAAACGGAGCAGTGAAAGTGGGGATGCGAGTAAGGGAGAAGGAGCTAGAGAAGGAATTTGGATGAAGGGAATGACGGGATGTGGAAAAGAGAGAAGGGGGGAGGAGACGGCACAAAAAGTCAACCCCGGGTGGTTGAACGAGCCGAAGAACCAGGAAAGAAGGCAAAAAAAATACCCACCTCTTCTTTGGGTAACGACTTATTGCTCAAGAAGGTCTTCTGCAGCCCGTGCCGCCAATCACGCACTTTGATTGATTCATTGTCTTCAGAGCCTTTAGCTGGAAAGAGAAGAACAGAATCAGCTTCTGACATGGCGAGAAATTGAAAGGACAAGTGATTGGAAGGTGATGGCGGTGGGAAAAGGGTGGTTGGAAATGGTAAAGCATGCGATGGAGGAAAGGGAGTGGTAAGAAGGGAACAAGATTCGAAAACAACCTCCATCGTTGAAAGAGGCGGTGTTTGCCCTCACTAAAGAGTAGCGAAAAGTGGTACCCTGGAGTGACATTTGAAAGTCACCAGGGCTGCGGAAAAGGATGATAGAATACATCGCAAAGGCAAAGAAAGCACCGAAACCCAGGAAAAAGTGCGCCAGAGGCAAGTGAAGGTCGACGCTGAAGACAAAGAGACGCCAAAAGGAAAGCAAAAGAGAGAAGAGAGCGGTAGGGGCTGATAAGGAACAAGATGAAGGGAGAAAAGGACTAAGTGCGGAAAGTGCAAAAAGGTCATAAAAACAACCATGGCCCATGGAAAGTGGCGGTTATTGCCCCAAATTCAAGAGAAGAGAAGCCTAGGGCCCGAGACGACGATTGAATGGAACCAGCGCCTCCGAAAAGAATGATAGACCACAACAAAACGGACAAAAAGGGGAAAACCGAAAAATTGACGACACCAGGTGTAAATGAAAGTTGATTTTGAAGAGAAAGGAGGCCAAAAAGCAAGCTGAAGAAGGAAAACAATGACAGAAGGCGACACAGCGTGCAAGGAAGCGAGAAAAGGCGCTCAAAAGTGCAAAAAGGTCCGAAAAGAAACCGTAGGGTCAAGAAAGACGGAGGACGTCTAAAATTTGAGAACAAAAGACCCGAAAACGTTTGGGGGGGACCATTAAAAGGCAGCAACGCCTTGGAGAAGATGATTGAGCATAAGAAGTGTAATAAAAGGGGTCAAAAGGACGAAAAATGGCGTCAGAGGAGGATCAAAGTTAGCGCCAGGATGAGGAAAGGCACCAGAAACGAGAAAAAGAAGGGAAGGATGAGGAAAGTGCTTTCGCAAAGCTAAAGCAGCTATAAGATGAAAATGAATGGGACAAGAAGGGAGGAAGCAAAGGATAAGTCACGACAGAGTGAAAAGGAAGGTCAAGCAAGAGAGAGGCGGATAGAATAGAAGAGAGAGATATAAGAGAAAGGGAGGAACATCAGAGGACATAAATGGGGTTGGTTGCGAGAAGCAATCCGATGAAAAGGGTGGAAAAGGTCAAAGAACGGGGGTGTTGGCAAAGCATAGCTCTCAGAAGAAGAAAATGGCAGAAAAAGGGTCTGGCGCATTCAAAGAAGATGAAGAGGGAAAAAGAGGGGCAATAAGAGAAGTTACGGCAACAACCAGAAAGTGCAAAATGAGGACAAGCTAGAGATCAGAGCGATCCCACTGATCCACCAAACCACCAGGTCCGCAGAACCACAAAGAAATGAATAGAGAAAGCAGACTTACCTAGCTTCTTCACCACCATCCAAGTAGACCTTAGCGATCCCTGTCTCGCTAGACGCCATTCCGGCTCTACCTCCCGTCATCCAGCCTCGGCGTCCCTCACATTCCTTCTCATCCCTCTCCCTACTATCATCCTCACTAATCCGCACGAGATCCGGTCGTAATTCATATCCTGTAGGAGGACAAGGATCCACTGCGGCCGACGGATCGCAAGGATGATCTTGGTTTCCTGCAGCTCGGGCCTCGCCTCGCGGATCCTACAAAAAACCAACCAATTAGCTCATCATCAAGAGGGGAGGCGTGATGTCGTGCCAAGCGGTTATGCGAAACTCTATTGTCAGGCCGATGGAATGATTACGATCGAAGATCCAAAGTCCTACCTACCGAAGTATCGAATGCTGGAAGCACAACGAGGCGTCTGTGCACCACCGGAATTTCTTGGGTTGGATTATTGTCGTTACGGCGAGCCGTCGGTACAGCTGCGGAGTACTAAGATCTAAGTTGGGCGAACCAAAAAACGGCGTCGTCACGAAGTTCGGGGCAGCCGATCGCCGCAGGAGTTGGTACGGGTGAGTGAACCTCCTTCTGGTAATGGTGCTTTAGAAAGGGAAGCGTCACTCGAACCATGGATGCTCACCTGACAAACAGCACAAAACGTCTACCGTTGCATGACTAGCCTCTCCTCTGCGCCGTGAAAATGTACGGTCCATTGTTCGTCGTCCTGAACGTGGTGTTACAGGGAGTTTTCCGGTCTAATAATGTCCCAAAACACCTGCGTTGAGTTCAAGGGGAACATAGCGCACGAGGCGAACTGTAGAATAGATGATCAGAAGATGGCCGCTTTGGAAGAAAGTTGATGAAAGAGGGCACGTACCATAAACAGTGACAAGACGATCGCTTCTCCGTTTGTCGTTGATCTTTCACTTCACTCAAAGGGTGGTTGACGTGGGTTTCCGAATCAACCGCGGACCAGGAATACGGTGATGAGACATTCGTGGAAAACGAGGACACGAGGGCTGTGAGCGAAAAAGTAGTTGAACGAATCGGAATAGATAGCCCTCCACCGGTTTGAAAGCTTGTGCGCCATGCGTGAACTTGCAATTCCGTGTCAGGTTTACTCTCAATGAGCGATGACAGATCAAATACTCACCCAGCGAATGTCGAGCAGGAGAACTGGACAGCTCTGCAAATGTAACGAGAGATTCCCAGGCGCGCGAATGGTAAGCTAGCAAAGTTGGCGGAGATGTTGGATCAGAATGTTGAACGTTTGTTTTGGTCGTTGTCTCTTTCCACTACCACGACGAGTCGATAAATTTCACTATTCGCACATATAACCACCTCCAATGGTCCCCACGCCGCCTGCCTCTTTTCTGCAAAAAATTGGCACCACAGTTTCTGTACGCATATAGCCAACTCCGATGTTCCCCAACCCACACGGGCGCCTCCCTCATTCTTTCATTTCGTCGTGCAACTTCGAGGGAATCCTTATCATAGGATCGGTACTCATTAGCTGCATCGCGGGCATTCGCGGCTCTCGAAACTGACGCTTCACGTACACATTCTCGCAAAAGGCGGCCTGCGTTCAGTATGCGAGAAAGTTCAATGGCGCGTCCGGGAACACCAACTGGTGGGACCAGCCCGTTGTTCTCGACGCTTGGCTTACGCACCGTACAGAGATCACATCGGAATCTATCACAGACACACTCGTCAAAGTGTAGGGCATCTACAGAAGAACTATACGGCCTCTTGTAAAACCGCCGTGTACCAGTGAACACGACCGACATTCCTGATCTCGGCAATCTTTCATTCACTTCCTCTCATGGACCCGACGACGGGAGGACCTACGCCCTTGCAAGTGGGCGTGACCACTCGTAGAAGGGGTGTAGATCAGCATCGAGGATTACAAGGGAGGTGGTGGCGAGTGGGGTGTGCGATATAGAACGTAGGGCGAATGAGAGGATGCTAAATCCAAGGCCATGGACGACACAGATGCAGACAAAGTGTCTGCAGAGGATAGTGGCATACTCACTCACATCCGCCCCGTTGAACCATCAAATTGACACCGCTCGAGATTGTTTACCCAGTGAGCGAAGACTGGCATCTCTCCGGGCTATCTGCCCTCTCGGGTTAAGAGATGCTCGAGCTGACGGCGGACAAACTTTTGAACCCACCACCCATTCACGCCTTCTTGTCCCACTCCCAAACGCGGGCGAATCATCCTGCTGGGTCCTGGCACCCTGCTCACCCTACTCACGCACCAAATGCTCACTATCCTCGTGGACCTCGTGTTGGCAGACAAATTCGTCGCGCAGGACGTGCTAGATCTCATAGTCAGCAAGACAGAACTCATCATCGCGAAAAGTGCTAAAAGCAAGGAAGAGATGATGCGTCTTGCTGTGGAGGGCGCGGAAGGGGGTTGTGCGTCGTTCGCGTATGTTCTTTCTCTCTAAGCATATGTCTTGTCACGAACTTACTCCCACTATGAAGTTACAACAAGGCGGTCCCTCTATGACCATATTCTAAAGAGGCACTCTTCTTCCGTGCCCCTGGGCTCTAGTCTTAGGTGTCTCCTCCGCCTTGGCCAGGCCAACGTTCGGTGGTATCCCGCTCACGCAACGCGGTGTAGCCGGGGGCGTGATTGTGTGGGGAGGGGTGTGAGCAGGGTACAGATGCCAGAGTATACGTTGGTTGTTTTGATGGGTGTTGCGAGGTTGATGCGCTTTTGGGCGTTTCTTCGTTGACGCCCGCTCCTGCTTCCACGTCCACGAGATCCACACCTTCGACAACCACAAACGACAACGGCAGCAGCCCCAACTCGCTATCCACCGGTCGTACCTGCTCGTGCCGACATGCTCGAGCACTCTACTTGAATCTTGGAGTGGTCGTCCAGAGATTCCGGATTCAAGAACTCTGGCTTGATTGGCACATGTTGGGCAGAAAATCCTACGCTCTTCAGACTTCCACTACATACATCTACCCAGCATCGTTTAGAATCCGAATCTTTACCCCCTTGGGTTCCGACCTGCGCGGGTCTCCTATTCCGAACGCCTTCACCTCCAGAGAGCTGTTCCAGTGTCGTAATTGCCCATGTGGAACCTGCTACCTGAGCAGCTCTTGTCAACTTCGACGTTTTGTTCACGGTAACGGACGAAAGCTCAAACAAATCCTCCATCCTCTTGGCGTCCTTGTGGCTGCACCCGGCTTGTTACCATAATGCATCTTGACCATCTATTTCGCGTGTGGCGTCACCTTTCCTCCTCGTTTCCCGGCTATATCTCGCCACTTCCTCCTTCATCCTCTTGGCCTTCTCCTTGTGCCACGTCCCTTCCACCGTTTATCGCCGTCCATCTTGGCCATCCATTTTGTCTTTGGCAGGATATCCTCTCCCCGCCTTTCTTTCATCTTGTCCCGATCGAGATCTCACTTGAGTCGGAGGGCCTTCGTATCGCAATGCTGCATCCCAATCTCAGCAATCGCTGCCTTGAGCCCGCAAGTTTGAGGTATTGTTCACGGACGGGAGCTCAAATTACAGATATTCTGCCGTGAGGTGTTGCAGTCTCCTCCGCCACTCATCTTGGCCTTCTCGTCGTGCCTCTCTTTTGCACCTGTGGTGGTACCCTATCTTGACGATTGATGAGATTCATGGCGTTTGGCCGCTGGCAGTACCGCCTGAACCACACTACGGTTTCTCTCCTTGCATTTTGATCTTTACTCTCCGTCGAGGTTTCTCAATCCAAACGCCTCCACTATCGCGACGACGCGCCTAAACATGTGTGACGTGCTGCCCGATGACAAGAGGCTCGAAGTTTTGTTATGGTATCGGACGAGAACTCAAACGACACATCTTCCCCGTCATTAATAGTCACAGCTTCCTCCTCCATCCCCTTGGCCTTCTCCTCATAGCTTATTTCTTGCGCTTGTGGTCGACGATTTGTGTTTGCCGGGACTTCCTGAATCTGCCCGGATCCTTCTTCGCATCCAAAACAATGCTCCTGTTGGAGAGGTGCCGAGTGACGCAAGGGAAAAGCACGGAGAAAGCTCGGACGCAGAGACGCAGTCGGAAGATGATTGTGATGATGATGATCTCGTGTACAAGCGTGTTTCTACTCTAAAGCCCTTGCCAAACCTGGCCAAACAGTGCTTCCTCCAGCTTTGGAGTGTCGAGACTCGATACTCCATGTGCCCCCCCCCTTTGTATGGCAACATCCTCGTTGCCCCAAAAAAACTCGCGTCGATGGCTAACCTCGTCCCCCACCACTACCTGTCTTCTTCGTCCTCCTCCACCCCTTCTGCCCATTCTTCATCGGCTGCCCACTGCTCCTCTTCTTCGTCGGCCTCTTCATCTTCGGTGCCTACGCCCACTTCTTCGTCCGCCGCTTTCGGTGCTTGCTCTTCATCCCCTCCTCCTGTTGGTTCCTCCACTGCCTTCAGCCTTCCCGTCTTCCTTTCCTCGTCAATCTTCTTCAACTCCTCCTTCTCTTCCTCTTCCTTTTCCTTGTGGCATCTCTCTTCAACCTCTTTCTGAGCCCTGGCCAGCTCTGTCCCCTCCCGTGGTAAGAATCTCCGTAGGCGTCGGGCACTGAAACGCCCTTTGATCGGGGCGCCTATTAGTGATTCGAGGGTGTAGGCATTGAGCATCCTCGAGACGACTCGGTATGGTGGGGACCACTTTGGGAGTATTTTGCGTTCGGTCTTGAAAGTGTCATCTAAATCACTACGGTAGACTTGTACCAGTTGACCTTTAGTTATGACTTCACCTGGTTTACGTGCCAAAACCTTCTTGTCAAACGCTGACTTCCTCTTCACAGCGTGTGACACTGCCTCAGCGTACCCGTCCAGCCGTTGCTGCGCTACGTACGCCGTTTGGGTAACGACGTCTTGTTCCGTGATTGGCAGCACGCTGAGGTCAACATTGGTTGGTATGGTGTTCACCACCAAACCTAGCAGCAGCTCTTTCGGGGAAAACTTCAGTGCTGGCAGGAGGCGCCAATTCATGATCTGTATGGCTTTGTCGAAGTGCTTCGGCCACGATCCCGGTATGTTCTTCCAGTCCATTGCGTTGTACTCATCCTCTCTGAGGTTGGGTGAACATAGTCGTTTGAGGATGTGTAGTAGGATTTTGTTGGCGCCCTCGACCAGACCATTCACCCAAGGTGAGTATGCGGATGCAACGTGAGTTTCTGTGCCCCAGTCTGCGCAGAGATCACGTACCGCTTTATTGTCGAAGTGGGGGCCACCATCAGTCATGAACACCTCCGCTGGCGCGAACTCGTGGAAAATCTTCCCAAGTGCATCCTGCGTTGTTTTGCCATTGCTGTTGACCTTGAGCTTGAAGCCCCACACGTGCTGTGAATATGTGTCAAGGTACAGTCCTACAGTGTGGTAGCCACCAAACCCCTTCGGTAGCGAAAGGTAATCTCCAACCAACAGCTCAAATGGATGACGACGCATGATAGGCTCTAAAAGTGCATGTAAGTGGGTGCTCCCAAAATTCTTACAATGGGCACAGTCCTTGATGCCCGTGATGATAGAGCTGTCGAGGCCCGGGCTCCATATTCGGTCCAACAGAGCCTTCTTGACCACATCCCTTTGCCAGTGTCCGTTCCTGGCGTGCTCTTCCCTTGCTAATACTACCGCCTCCGCGGGAGACACGCACTCCACCCGTGCTCGTGCTCTGGTGTGGTGGCCTCCTGCTACTCGCCATAGCTTGCCGTCGCCTATCATGTACTCTGAGGCACGATGTCGTGCGCGTTTTCGCTTTCGCAGGCTGGTGCCTTGGTCTAGCTTGAGCAGGGCATCAATGACTTCCAGCAGCATTGGTACGTCTTGGAATCGATCCAAATCGTTCACGCAGTGCGGACATGTCCTCTGAGGTTGCACCTGCCACATGGAACAAGTCATGTGTCAATCCCGCTGTTGCTTCCCAGTCTTCAGACACAGTCCACTCGCTACCATTGCCCTCCTCTTGGGGGGTTCCTTCGGCAGCTCTGCTCAGTCCATCTGCGACGACATTGATGCGTCTTGGAACATGGCGTACATCCACGATCTGGTGGCTCAGTATGCCGTCGCGCCACCTTGCGTGGGTAGCGCTGAGCTTGTCATTCATCAGGTGGTCACGTAGCGCCTGGCAGTCGGTTTTGACTTCAACTGGGAACCCCCATATGACGTCTGAAAACTTATCCAAAGCGAATTTGAGCCCTGCAAACTCTAGCAAAAAAGGTTTGTACTTCTCTTCTGTTTTCGAGGTTCGCTTTGATGCGAATGCAAGGGGGTGGAGCTTGGTGACCGTTTTGCCACTCGTCAGCACTGTTGTGAACTTCTGTGCCAGCACTGCACCAAACACGTCCTTGGACCCATCACTGGTGACGATGAAGGGCGTGCCATCCCATTTCGGGCCTCTAAGTACTGGCTCGGATGTCATGATGGCCTTCAGCTTGAGGAATGCGTGAGTGTGTTGCGCCATCCACTGTTCCTTCAATGTGTGATTAGCCATAACTCGACGGTACACTGTTTTCGAGCATTTCTCAGGCATATCAACTTCCCTTATCAAATCCCTCAACGGTTTTTCGATCTTCGCATAGTCCTTGATAAGATCTCGGAACCATCCCGTGAGGCCCAGGAACGAAGAGAGATTGAGCGCGCTCTCTGGTGTTTTCCAGTTGACGATAGCCGTGAGTTTGCTCAGGTCGGGTTGTACACCGTTGGGTCCTACAGTGGCACCAGCGAACTCGGCCGTTGTCATGAAAAACTTTGACTTACTTGGCGATAGAGACAGCCCGTGTTCCCTGGCCCTGGTGAATATACGTCGCAGCTTGTCCATCATATCCGTGAATGTGTCAGCCGCTGTACCACCATCATCGACGAATAACTCCATGACTTCCTCCACCAGCAAATCGTAAAGGTGTTGTCCTGTCATGTGTGCAAAAGTCGACGGTGCGCCTGTAAGCAAGGGGGTAGCGGGACGTGGATCCCGCACCAAGGGTAGGAGGGGGGGGTGTCCGGCCGAAGGCCGAAAAAAAAAAGTGACACCCCATCAATTTTCAGATTTTGAAGGGCAGTGACATTCCAGCTTCGGACACGGACGGTCCAAACCAAGAGTACTATCACCTACGTCGACACACCCTACACTCCCCATGCCGCCCCAGGCCAAGTGCCTCTTCCTTCTCTGAATGAGTTACACCACTCGGACGCTTCACTTTCTTTCTCGGCCTACACATTAAAGAGTCACTTTTGAAGATTTATCACATGCACAGTAATGAAGAAATGCCCTCTCATTCTGTACCGTCAGTAGCCGTCAGTGTAGCTACTTACCCAGGATTATCCGTCTTTAAACAAGTTTTTTCAATATCATGCTAGCACAGGCCCGTTATATGCATCTTCAGTGGACTCGACTTAGCCTAAACTTAGTTTACGGCCAACCGCCTGTGCGTAGTTGACTTGTTACATGGAAATATTTTGAATTCAAAAAAAAAAAACATGAGTGTGGGAAAAACATACTTTATTAGGAAGGTAATGGTGGGGGGGTGTCAGGCAGAACCCTGAAAAAAAAATAACGAGTGTTGGTCTCTTTTCCACATTCCGCCACCCCCTTGCCTGTAAGCCCGAAGGGCATTCTCTTGTACCAGAAATATCCCCATCCTTCAACGTAAAACGCGGTGTACGGTCTTGACTCCTCGTCAACAATCACTGCATAGAACCCGGCGGCGAAGTCGAATGTTGATACCCAACGGTGGCCACTGAGACACTGTTGCTTGGCCCTGATGTCACCCTGTGGCATTGGTGCAACCTGCGTGACCTTGTTAATTTGTGCGAAATTCTGGCAGATTCTCCATTTTGGGTCGTCGTTTTTGCTCTCTGTGTCGTTGGCTGTTGTGTCAGGTCTCGGTGGTAAAGGAAAGTGAGGCTCCATCCCATTGCGGACGCATTCGTCGTTGACTCGGTGTTGTAGCTCGTCCAACGTGAGGCCAGCGCCCTGGTGAGTCTTCTGCGCCAGTGTCGTTGGGGAGACACACTTCACCTGTTCAGGCGTGCAGGGTTCTATGATGTCCGCTCCCAGCATTGCTTGTAGCTTCTCATAGAGGTATTGGCGTTGCAGTGGTGTGAGGGGCTTTTGATGGACCTTGGTTGAGAATTTCGCGTTCGGCTCAATGTTGAGCCGATGGACAGCGCCCTCCACTGGCGTGACCTCACTTACTGACAGGGTGAACACGTCTGCGAACTCTGTTATCAGTGCCTGTACTTGTGCCTTTTCCCCAGTAGTTAGATCGTCCCCGATTTTGATCTGCCGATGAATCTCCTCAACGCGAGCAGGTTTGAATGGGTCTGATGCTCTTGTGAAGATGTTGGTTGTGTCACTGGCCAGTTCGTCTGTTGGTATTTCTGCTGTCCAATCCACGTTCGTCCCTGGTGCATCTTCGGAAATGATGCATATGGGTGTTGTCTTGGTTTGGCAATGTGCTAGTACTTCGGTTGGATCAGTGAGGCTCACTGTAACACATGATTCATAGGCTAGGACTTCCCTTGCGGGGGGTTCTGTCACACCCCCCTCTGAGTCTCTCCGCTCTGTCCTGGTATTGTTCTGCTTTGGGTCGTCCTCATCTTCCACCTCCTCGATGAATGCTCTGTGAATCGGGGTGTTGTTAGCAGTTGATTCGCTCTGTGTGAATGCAATGACTGGTACTTCCCTCGAGGGGGACTCTACCTTGTCCCCCACGATTGGTACCTGCTCTTCTCCAGGCGCATTGCTGATTGTTGCTGGTTGTCCATAAGATCCTGCATCCACATGTTGTTGTTCGTTATCTGGTGCATCTGTGTCAATGGTCTGCAGTTCCACTGTATGGTGGTGTGTTGGTACTCCCCTCATGGGGGACTGCGCGCTGTCCCCCTCTTTCATTATGCGCTCCTTATCATCTTGTGTCTGGGTCATTGGTCGTCGAGTACGCGATGGATGTACAGCGATGTCGTACTGATTGTGCAGCGTTCGCTGACCCATTGGCGACTGGTGGCTACCACTTTTATCATAAAACTAAGGTACTTGCCTGTAGAGCTGTGTGTATAAGTCCACAAGTTTTATGAAAGGCCTTTCATAGGTGTGTCCTTGCACTTTCAATGTATTTTTCATTTGGAATATTAGGCCCACTCATTCCCATTTCATTCTTCATTCTGTGCCCTTTCAATAAATTTTCATTAGGAATATTGAACCCACTCATTCCCATTTCATTCCTTATTCTGTGCCCTTTCAATAAATTTTCATTAGGAATATTGAACCCACTCATTCCCATTTCATTCCTCATTCTGTGCGCTTTCAATGAATTTTCATTATGAATATTAGGCCCACTCATTCCCATTTCATTCTTTATTCTGTGCGCTTTCAATGAATTTTCATTAGGAATATTGAACCCACTCATTCCCATTTCATTCCTCATTCTGTGCGCTTTCAATGAATTTTCATTATGAATATTAGGCCCACTCATTCCCATTTCATTCTTTATTCTGTGCACTTTCAATAAATTTTCATTAGGAATATTGAACCCACTCATTCCCATTTCATTCCTCATTCTGTGCGCTTTCAATGCAATTTTCATTAGATGTCTCGGGCACACTCATTGTAACTTTGATTAATTATTCTAAGTAATATAACAGTCTCTAGTCTAATCAAACTCAAAGATGTCATCTACATCAACCTCACCACCATCAGATTTATCATCTGCTCTGTCTAACTCCTCCTCATCAGTATCGGAGTCGGAGTCAGATGTAGGATCCCCCCCAACACCAGTTTTCGACCCCTCGTAATTACCACTCCAAGTCGGAATAATACTATGCTTCTTCATAATCGGTAACCAATAGGCAGCACACCTAGCTGCCATGCGCAAGCAAATGTTTGCCTGTTTATGGGCATATGCCGTCACTCCACTTTCAATGGACTGCTCAAGCTGTTGCCTTCGATTACCTTGCTCCAGCCACCACACTGACTTCCATTCAAAAAACGCGAGTACCCGCCGCATCTCCTCTTGAACAATCAACGACTCCTCATCCCACCGACACATACGTGCACGTGTCTGAGCCCATTCAGCAAGCATGCTGTCGTTAAACTCAGCCTCAGTCTGATCATCGCCACATTCTCGAGGCGAACGTGGAACCAACCAAATCCACGATGTAACAAAGCGGCCGTTTGAATATTTAGCATCTTCTGGATGGTCAGGATCCCTACCGGGCCCCCTTATATCAGTCGGCTTAAGCTCTTTCAGGCGATCTCTCCACAATCCATTCGGATCCAGAGCCATCAAAGCAGTATATGCGATGTGGTACCGATTAGCTGCACGTTGGAGCTTGTATTCCACTCGCTTGTAGAGGTCAAGCATTCGCGTATTTGGCTTATTTCCGGTCCCCGAAACATTGAGTTTTTTGAATTGCCAGAGACCCTGGATGATACGGCGCAGGCGGCGAACATCTGCAAGGGCATCATCAGCTTGAGGCTCCCGTAAACGACGCTCAGTGTCATATATTTCCTTCATATCGGGGTGCCGACGGATCTCAGGTGGAAGCGATGAAGGGAAAAAGAGAGTCGCCAACTCAGGATGTGTGTACTGAGCACCAGGTTCGTCGACCGAATGCACCAAAGGCAGCAACGTGGCAACGTAAGGTGTATATGCGAGTTGAATAGGCCACCAGATCTGAATTTGTCGGATAAGCGAGCTCCGTTTATCCTCGAGATCGGCCAACTGTTTACTTGTCTTCTTCCCCTTCGATCGTGCAAGTTCCGAGGATAGAACAAACCTGAAAAGAAGTTAGATCACAATGACTACCGATACGAAAGACTCACTGTTGGTCCTCAATCTCAAAACCCATTGAGAAAAACCCCATCATAGTTACTTTGTGCCGCGGCGCCCGACCTGACGCAAGCAGGAGAGTTTCTTGCCGTGTCAAGTCAAGACGGACATCCTGGAAGGTGGTGGCTAGTTTGGATGTTGAATTAGGCACAGATTAGAATTTATTCAAAGCTACATACTTTTTTCTGGTTCTTCATATGGATTCGGAGCTTTGGGGTTGGCTTCCCAACGTTCCACCATGTGCTCCCACTTTTCGATGGTCTCAGAAGGAAATGTTGAGGAGAATTTCTCAAACGTGTCCTTGTGCTTCGCACTCATAAGAACGGCTTCCTCAAAACGTCTTGCAAATTGCTTTCCTTCACCGCAAATAAGAGCAGGTCACGAAGATAAATAAAGTACACTTACGAAAGCCAACAACCTTCCGGAAATTCCACCCGTTCCAGTGATCGTTTAAAGTGTCATGTCGAGCCGCTGGCGCCATCTCTCGTACGCTTGGCGCTAGCGGATTTGTATGCGACCAGGTGATTTCAACCTCCTCGCCGCACGTCCTTCCCGCACCCTTCATAAAACCGAGGCAAAACTTCTTTCTACAATTTGCTCCATGTCCGTTAATGTGCCAACTGGGAATCCCAACGTCGACCTTCGTGCCCGGTTCAATTCTCATATGTTCAGGGAAATCAGACATGCGGCTGCGAAAGTTTATCGACCACTGGCAGCCGATGTCATACGTGATGAATATCCAAGGTAAACAGATACCGACGAGGGCCGAAAAAATGAGATAGTCCATGTTGCAGTATCTAAAAACGCGAGTTAGTACTAGCAACCATAGAGTCTTTGTGAATACACTTTACTTTTCGCCTTTCTGCAGGTCGCCAGTGCCGTTCCTTCGTACCAGTGCATGCCGAGAGCAAATGACAATGCCCGTTCCCGACACAGCATAACCAGGCGTGCACCGTGTCTGAGCCCTGACGATAGCATCATGCTCGGACTCGCACGTATTGATCTGGCAAGCCAATTTATGTCAAAGAACTGGAAAGAGAAAACAGGTGCTTACTTCGGGCTCATCGACATAATTCGCGATGAAAGCTTGATATTTGGTCTCTTCGACAAAGGGACCCCAACCTGGCATCAGTTCGACATCCTTCAAGCCTCGGTCTTTGCCCTTGAGCTTGAAATTTGCATCGACAGAGATATATAATATGTAAAGAAACCTGTCAAATTGTTAGAAATAAATGGCCAGGACATGATAAGAAACATACATGAGGGCTCCTGCTTGTTCCCAGTTATCGGGAAGATTTCGATTGGGGTGTGGGCATGCTGGGCACTCGACTGTCAAGCTACCTGGGGAAGTGGCCCCGACACCTGCTGGATCGTGTCCGCGCCCCGCACGTTTAAGCGCCATAAGATTTCGCCAGATGCGAAACACACGATGAATTTCCTTATATCGATACTAAAGAATAACATAGTTATAATTAGCTCACTGGATTATGCGACAAAAAGGAAAGAGACTACTACTTACGATGGTGTTTGATAAGTTGGCGTTGTCCGTTTTCCGTAACAAATGGTGATAGTAGTCATAAAGATTACCCTTTCCTTGTAAAGTGTGTTCATGGAATGTATCGAGGCAGTCAAATGTAAAGGCAGTGTTGGGCCGCGTGAACGTTGCTGGAAACCAGCCCTGCCGGAGAAGTTGGGTTCTTCGATCGAGCGCATCATCCTTCAGGCACTCGCAGTAGTCAATGTTAACAGTGTGTATACCAGAAGTGTCGAAAACCATGAAGTTCGGAGGGCCAGGAGACGGGCAAGGGCAAGGACTTCCCCCGTGTCCGAGTTGCACACGGAGTCCAAGATTTTTGAGGGAATCCTTATCGAAAAACTGCCCGGTCCATTGCTAAGAGAATAGATGAATAAAGATATGCTTTCTGTAGTGGTAACGAAGAGACTTACTTCTATTCGGTGCAATGGCGCATCCTGGTGGCATTTGATGATACAAGTCCTACAACGAAGCTGACATCCCCCTGAGCAATCCTTACACTTGAATCTTCCAATCTCTTCATTGCACGAGACACAGTTTTGACGCCCCAAGAAGTCTCCAAGTCCATCATGCCATAGTATCTCATCCAAAGTTGTGTCTCGAATTGAGAGCCACTCGAGAAGTTTCGTCTTTAAAGCAAAGTGGATCAGTATCATGTCAAAACTTTCCGAATCTCCACGCACCTTGGCATTATTGTTCCTTTTTCGTTTTGGTTTTGTGTGAATGATGGGAGTGGGTGAAGGCTCGTCTTGAAGTTCGCGTTCGTTGTGCGGTTGATCGTCGTTGCATGAGATGTCTTCAAGGAGTGTGGGAGGTGAAGGGGAGATTGTAAGGCCCAGTTCTGCGACTGCTGATGTGCGATTCCTGTCCTTGTGCTTTCCCTTTCGCCGACCAGTAGGGCCAACGGCAAGCGTGGTAACCCGTGAACTCGACGATATCGATGACGAGACAGCAGAGGCGATGCTCTCAGGCGCTCGAGGGTGAGCAACACGAAAGCCTGGGTGAGTCCGCTTTGTTGCAGATCGTTGAGGATCGGCACTGGAAGATGACGAGCTCGCAGTTATGGTGGTTTCATGCCTTTGAGGGCGAGCAGCACGGAAGCCAGAATGAGTGCGAGGACACTTTGTTGAGGCTTGAGGTTCGGTATTGGAGTCATCATCCTTGCGCTTTGGGTTAGACATGAGCAATAATGTGCTGGCAGAAAGGAAAGAATGAACACACATTTACGAACGAGATGTTGAAAGAAATCCCCACGGCAAGGTAAGAAAAGAAAATGAAGGCGGCCAGGCAAAGCAATGAAGGATCACCCGATTTGGCATAATCTCAGATCAGTCTCATTAAGATCGCTTACCTTGGAATTTCAAGTCGATTGAGGTTTTATTCAAGTATGCGATAGAGTCAGGTCGTGTGGAATGGCTTTAGAAGGTCAATAAACATAACTGCCCATGGACAATACCCAAGATATTTGGAAGCCACTGTTTTGTATATCGGGGAGCTGTCAAGAATTGACCTGCGACGCTGAATTGAGTTTCAATCCAGCAAAACCCTCCTCTCCGATGTACACCCTTACAGTTTGAAATATTCCTCAACCCACTTATTAAGCGGGGTAAAGATATTCGTAACTAGACGGTTGCCCATGTAGAAGAATATTAAAACAAAGTTTTAACCTGTAGATAGTTTTAGCAATCAATCAGTGAACAGACGCATTCACGATGCATACATTTTATATATGATATACCGTAGCTACACATTAAAGGAAACGAACCAGCAGCCTGAGCGTCGCAGAATTGGCATGAACGTTATACACAGAGCGCACCGTTAGACCACTACACCACAGCAGAATTTGTAGAGTATTATCTGACATGAATCACCTGTTTATATGTCTGGCTCATCACTCTTACTCATATGCTGGGTGACTCTCAAGCTTATTCAAGCCAATTGGTTGAACGAACTGATGATCATATAAACGCAGGTACAAGACAGGAGACGACTACATAATGGCATCGGACATAGGCATATAAAACGCAGGTACAAGACAGCAGACGACTACATAATGGCATCGGACATAGGTCCAAACTCTTGCTCGTCGCCTTCTACCCTTCCAGAAACGTGAACACGACCGTGTGTCTTCATGGTATGGTAATCCTCTAAAGCCTCTTCACGAGAATTGAAGCCAAAGCAAGCAGAACCCGGGACTCTATTAACGAGACTATGCACATAGGTCCTAAATTTATTTGGGACCACGTTAATTAAGTAAAAGAAAACCATTGAGAAAATACTTACCACCCCGTAAAAACTCCGCATCGTCTGCCTACAGTAACTGAGTAGTACTTAGGCCGTGTCTGGCGTGGCCGCGCTAGCGAGAAAGCCGGTGTCGGAGGAGTAGTGTTTGGGCACGCTGGCGAGCAAGTAGGTGTAGAAGGAGCAGGGTGAGTGAAAGGGCCTTCGGAGGAGCTGGCGAAACGATCCTGTGTCTGCTGTGGCCGCGCTGGCAACAAAGCCGGCGTACGATCAGCCAATCCATCCTGTCGGGTATTGGCCAATCCATCCTGCTGATTATCACCCAATCCATCCTGTTGAATATCGGCTAATCTGGCAATAGGATAAATGCCTGGAGGAAGAAACTTTCCCCGATCCTCGCTGGGGATGCCCAAAATGCCGGGGTTGTCATACGTAACCTGCACTGGCCCTGGACGAAACAAAGGAGATGTTGGCAATAGGATACGGACAGGCGCCGCAGGTGTTGAACGTCGTCCAGCACTGTGCCTTGGGCGAGTCGCGTAATTGATCGGAGGTGGTCCTGTACGGATCGCAGAGTAAGTTAGAAGAAGATCATCAAGAAATGGAGGATATTACCACTCATGCTGGGGAGGAGCAGTTATGAAGGGCTCCGTCTGGGCGACGAATACTTATAGCGCTAAAAGGTGTGTTCGGCTGGTAGTGTTTGATGAATGGATGACCTGGCAAAAAATGTTAGCCGATTTTACATAAAATAGAAAGTAAACAAACCCTTATGCCGCTAGTTTGCCACGTTGAATCTATCTCTACTTCCATCTCTACTTACTACACCACTAAGCCCTTTACCTCATTAACAAACATGACTCACCATCAATGGACAACGGCAGAACAGTCGGACTGGCTCAAGCAACGCATAGCTGCCTTCATCGACTCCCAGGCAAACAAGACCACGGTGAAGGAATTCTTTCCTCAGGTCATCAAGGAATGGAGGAAACTGTGGCCTCTTGCAGAACCCACAGCTGACGAAATCACTAAAGCTAAAAGTGTTGAGGACGCTATCAAGCAAAAGAAAACCAAAGATGAGGAGGTACGGCATTGACGTAAACTTGGTTATGATTGACTGACTTACCTCGCTGACTTACCTCGAATGAAGCGCATCAAAGCGTGGTTCCATAACCACACTCGAGGCTCGACGTCAGGATCGGGAACTCGTGGTCTTCTAAAAATAAACGGACAAGCAAGGTTTCGACAAGAATGGCAGGTCTATCAGACTATGACATACGAAATTAAATGGAAGGCAGTTATCGACAAGGAATGGGAGGCTTACCAGGCGAAATGGAAGGCGGATCACCCTGGCACCGATCTTCCACAAGGTCGTTTTGCATTTATGAATTCGTTCCTAAAAGACAAGTACAACTCAGAATCCGACGAAGTCAAGACTGCAGTCAAGGAACGTCAAGCAGCAATGAAGATTGAATCTGAGGCGCAGGCAAAATAGGCAGGCAAACGAAATGCGGCCTATCAAAGGTGGTTAACTTTTGAGCCCTGCAAGAAATAGTCACTTACATTTTTCTAGCGCGATCAACAAGCTTCCTCGCACCCTCGCCGTAATGGGTGAATCTATCCTCAAGCAAACTGGGTGGCATGTCACATTCATTGTCGGGGGACCTGAACCACGTCAGAATGGCAAGATAATGACATATATGTAAGTCTAAACACATACCATGTTTGACGGACCTCGCTGATGATTTTCTCAAGGTTAAATTGCGGAAGGACCATGAAGGACGAAGATTATGAAGGGTTTCTTGGTGAGGATGCGTATGAGGAACACATCATCGCCCCTTTCGATGATTTTCTGCACGAAGCTTTCAGTAAGTTTGCCATCATATAACCTACAATCGAACTAACGACTTGCTAGCTCCTGAAGCCCGCCTAGAAAGAAGCCTAACTTCTAAGAGCGAAACACCCGAGTCAGCTGGAGGCGAGGGGATTGAAGAAGTAAATGACAAACACGACAGCAACGCCGTGGACGGGGAGGCCCACATTGACAAAGAGGCGCCAAAGAAAGGTGGTAAATCCGAGTATGAGCATTCTCGGGAGACGAACATCGCAAGGAATAAAGAGTTGTTGCGGCAAGTCGAGGAAAGGTTTCCGATGGAGCCTTTGGCGAAAGCGGACAAAACGAACGGAAGGGGGCCAGAGAACAAGGTGAAGAGGAAAGAGAAGGTTCATCAAGAACCCACCAGAAGTTCGGCCAGGATTCAAGGACAAGGACCAGGGTAAGGAACAAAAGATTACATCTGTCCGATACTGATGTTGTGTCGATCAGAGATGTGCCTGAAACTACGACAACCGAACCTGCTGCGAATGAAGGCACCAGCCCTTCAATCACAGTTCCCATCCAGTCCTCTGGGACCGTGGGCAATGTCGCAGAGGCCAATCTCACTCGTAGCATCAGTACTCCTGCGGAGATTGAAAATGACGTGACGGCGTCTACTTCTGACCATGTCAACGCCTCTCCTTCCAACCACATTGATGCCTCTCCCTCTGCACTGGTCGATTCAGCTCACACTTCTTCCGACGATTTTGGTGCCTCTCCTCCTGCAACCGGCGTTGGACCCCTCGTCGAGCCTACCCCTTCCTTTAAGCCAGCTCACACTTCCGACGATTTTGGTGGCTCTCCTCCTGCAATCGGCGTTGGACCCCTCATCAAGCCTACCCCTTCTGCGTCATCAATTGCCTCTGAGTCTGAAACTCCTGCCATGTACAAGGTCTCGACTTCAACACAACCTTCAACTCCGACCTCAACAGTTTCGCAAATGGACGTCGACAGTGACATTAGAGATACCACTGACACTGGGACACCTCTGCCAGCCTGGCTGCATAATGTGAATATGTCAGATTACCTGCACGGGGTTTCGAAGGAGAAAGCCTGGCAAGATCTCATAACCTCTCTCTTCAAGTTCAAAGCCTTAAATCCAACTACCGGCGTACATATTAATTTTGTGATGTAATGAACATCTTTAACTGATACCTCTTTACTCTCCTTTGCAGAAACTGCCAACCACTTCGCGTCCTGATGAAGTAGCGGCGTGGATCAGGAGTAAGAAGAAGGACTCGCTGCCCGAAATTGACAGTACTTTACCCTCCCCCATGAGTTCCAGCGGACTCCAGCGGACTCCCATAGAATGTCGGAATTCCATCCGGAGTCCGCCGGAATGGTAGGAATCTCAAATTCCAGTGGATTCTGCCGGATTCTGAATGGAATTCCAATGGATTCTGCCAGATTCTGAATGGAATTCCAATGCTCTACACGGTTGTAGTAGCTCTGTCATGGTGGGTTGGGGCATTACCTGCTGAACCTCTCTCTTTGTGTCCATGGTTGGCGGTGCATGATGTCCGGTGGGTCATTGATCAGGTCTACAAGAAGGCTTTGTCTAGCTCTCAGGGGACAAAGCGAGGTCGTGACAATGGCACCGTTGATGCTACACAGTCAGCTAAGGCCAAGAGGTATGTTTGAGAAGCTCTTGTTTTTTTTTATTACCTAATACTTTGTTTGCTTCAGGCATTGTTCGGGTTAAATCATTGTTGCCTTCACCATCTCGTTACTCATAGATATCAGTAGATGAAAACTCTCGTATCAGTAGCTTAACACTCTCGTTAATACCGTAGAATCATGCTGGCCGTGGTAGTTAAAACTGGATTTTTTTTGCTGTGTGAATATTAGATTGAACGTGGCATGTGATGCTACTGAAAAATTCTAGGAGTATGTGGAGATGTAATGAAAGAGCACAATGAAAGTATTCAACAGGGGCAATGAAATATTTCCGCGTCACTTTCCCGATGAAGAAGCATGTGATCAATTATGAAAAGGAAAGGGCCAGGAAGGAAATTCCTATAATGAACAGAATAAAGAATGAAATGGGAATGAGTGGGTTCAACATTCCTAATGAAAATTCATTGAAAGCGCACAGAATGAGGAATGAAATGGGAATGAGTGGGTTCAATATTCCTAATGAAAATTCATTGAAAGCGCACAGAATAAGGAATGAAATGGGAATGAGTGGGTTCAATATTCCTAATGAAAATTCATTGAAAGCGCAGAGAATAAGGAATGAGTGGGTCTAATATTCCTAATGAAAATTCATTGAAAGCGCACAGAATGAAGAATGAAATGGGAATGAGTGGGCCTAATATTCCAAATGAAAAATACATTGAAAGCGCAAGGACACACCTATGAAAGGCCTTTCATAAAACTTGTGGACTTATACACACAGCTCTACAGGCAAGTACCTTAGTTGTATGATAAAGGTGGTAGCCACTTGTGCATTGGCAGGAACACCTCGTCTGTGGCGTAGTTGTGGACAACGCTGAATGCTGTCATTAATCTCTTCCCGAAGAGGAAGTCCCAATCCCCACTGCTGTCGAAAACCTCGAACGACCCTGTTACTGTGGTGCCTCCTAACTCCACCGTCCCTTTCCAGCATCCTACTGGGCTCACAATACTTCCGTTCGCCATTCGCAAGCGTCGTATTGACCTCTCCAGAGGTGTTAACTTGTGTTTGATTTTGAGGTACGTCCTTGTCGACATCGCGTCCACCATCGCACCGTTGTCGAACAGTCCCCACACCTGTGCCACGTTGTTGTCCGGCCCATGTAGTTTGACTTGGTGAATGAATGGTTTCACTTCCTTTTTTTGAGTATCATGTGACTCAGGGCGAACTGCGTACAAATCGACGACTGTGTATTCCATGTCCATATGATGTACATTGTGAATGTGTAGCTGAGCCGAATAGTCCGCAGGTTTCAAACATGAGTCCCCGTGCCCAACCCGATCACGCACGAGGACATATCCTCCCATCTCACCACCTTGTAATCGGGCCATCCGTTTGGCATCTAACTTGCGGATGGCCCTTCCCCGTTTCCCTGGTTCTGACTCGCGAGATATCTTGAGATGATGGCCGCCTCGTATTCGTCCCTTGTCAGGAACACGTCGTCCTCGTCGACTAGGTTGACGTTGTAATTGTTGGCCCTGGAGGCGCCAGTCCTGATGGAGTTGGCTTTTTGGCACCACGCCCTCTCTGCATCTGGTATCCTCCTGTTTGATGTGCACGCTGCTCCTGGGTGACCAGTGTGTCCACAACCGAAACACTTGCCACTTGCCACAGGGCTTGTGCCTGGCGTGAGCGGACAGGGGCGGCTTTCGTTTGCTGGTCGTCCGTAGCTAATGCAGTTCCATGTTGCGAGTTCAGCCTCATATGCTGCCCAGCCTGCTGGAGTGTCTGGTTGCGGTGGTGGTATATGTCCTATGATGACAAGCTTCTCGGCGTCCGTGCGTTGGGGGCCCCTATATGGCTGGGTTGTCGCTTGGGTGGCAGCAGGGGCTGGTTGGAAGCGTGGTTGTGGTATGGGTCCCACTGAGAAGTTGCGGAATGCCTGCCCGAGTGCTGTGGTTGGCGTGGGTGGTGGTTGTCACTGCTGCTGCTGTTTGACACACTGTAGTTCTCCCTCGAGTCGTGCCTGCTTGTCTTGTCGTTCTTTCTCCTCCTCAATATCCAATGGTCTGATGGCACGGACCGCTGTGCAGAAAGTCGTCCATGTATCGTGTGAGCTGCTAACGAGCACTTTCAGCGTGGGTGGTAATTGTCGTCGGCAGCTGACGACCAAGAGGTTGTTGTTGTCAGGCACTGCCTTTGCCAGCTTCTCCACTTTGTTTGCCCATGCGACGTGGGCATACATCTCCGTTCCGTTCACCTTCACCTTTGTTCCCAACTCCGCTTCCGTAATCTTCTCCCCCTCCAACTCAGCCTGTTTCTCTGCCGTAGTCTTCTGCGCTGTGGGCCATTCTGGCCATTGTTCTTTGAATGCCACACACAATCCCGCCCATGTAGCCTTCTTCGCCACTTCGAGGTCCTTGAACCACTGCTCGGCCGCAGACCCGCTCTTCAGCCACGTTTCGAAGTAGTTGATCTTGAATTCGTCCTCCTGCCCTGACGTCATCAGGTAACGCTGCGTTCATTTGAGGAAATCTCTAGGGTCCATGGTGTCGTCGTCTTCCCCCGTGAACTGATCGTCATTGTTCCTGTCTGCCATGACCTTAGGCTGCGCTCTGGGCTGGACAGCAGTTTCGTGTGGGAGGATGTTGGGGATGAGTGGTGTGGAGGGTGGTGGTGGTGGGTAGACAGGTGTGGATGCTCCAGAGTTTCCTTCTTGAACGGTTGACGCTAGCGTTAGGGTCACCGATGTGGGTGAAGATGAAAGCGATGGAAGCGTGGATAGAGGGGTAGATGTCCTGGAGGTAGTTGAAGCCATGGTGATAGTAGGCAGGAATCTGCCGTTGGGGCCTCTATTATAGTTCAGTTTTCGTTTCGCCAGGATGACCCAGGGGCCTTTGAGGTGTAAAATTTCCGCCAGGAGGTTGACACGTTGCACAGACGATCACAGTTGAGAGAGCACACAAAACGCAGGTAAGACACAGATGGACGCAATAAGACACAGTGAGTTCGATCACGCTCTCATCACCAGATGGAGAGGTGCCGAGTGACGCAAGGGAAAAGCACGGAGAAAGCTCGGACACAGAGACGCAGTCGGAAGATGATTGTGATGATGATGATCTCGTGTACAAGCGTGTTTCTACTCTAAAGCCCTTGCCAAACCTGGCCAAACAGTGCTTCCTCCAGCTTTGGAGTGTTGAGACTCGATACTCCACTGTGTGGTGCACTGCGTGCTACCTTGAGCAGCCTACTTCCCCAGTTGAGCACCGACAGCAGCCTCTTGGAAGGTGGTCATCTGAATAGAGGCGACGATTCGCTACCTTCACTACTGTGTAGTTGAACTCAAGACGGTATCCCAACAAGAAACCTATCTCTCTCTTATAAATGCGCGCCATTGGCCTGTCATACACCATCTTTGCCATTGGCCCGTCATACACCATCTCCGACATGCGACCGTCCAATACTAGTACTGCTACTACAGTACTATGGTTTGCCGAGGTCCCCTTCGAACCACCGAGCTCACCATCAATCAGATACTGCACCGGATAGTCTTCTGAGGTGCAGCCTGATGTGGATCACGAGTTGCCCCCCGACTGGGTCGTCCATCCACCCCGTACCGCTACCTGGCTAACTCACCATTCTTCCTCAATTTCCCTCCAACCTTAGTCTTGCCGCTTCTGAGCCGGACCCCAACTCAGCTTCTTGGAGTTCAGCTCCAAGGGTCCAACCCCAATCCAACCCTTCGAAGTGCCTGACTAGCTCCGTCTTCCGACTCGGACTCGCGCTTACCTCCGTCCGTGTCCATGGACGAAATGGGCGTACTTTGTGTGGACTCTGTGGAGTTCCATGTAGTACTTACTGGTGGGCTGTGTAGTTTCATGCAATGCTTGCGGTGCTCACAATGTACATCGTTTGCGTTCGAGTTATATTGAGGTATAAAACAAAACAGGTATTAAAAGAACCGTAAGCCAAGCAAACGAGTCTCAGGTCTGGAGTGTGAGGAGGGGATAATGGGAGAGTAAGCATATATATATGTCGGAAAATCTGAGAAAAACCTAGATGTGCCAATATGGTGCTCATATGTGCGCATCAGGTCATCAGTATTTTGGGATGTATTTCAGCCACAGAACGTGCGTATGGGTGTGATAGACCCCCTCACTTGGATCAGTAATTACCACTGTTGTCGGACATTTTAGTACTGAGGGTGGGTGTTAGTAGTTATTCTTTCTGGTAAAACATTGAAGCACAGAGAAGAACTTACCGTGGTTGTCAGGCCCGTCAGGTTGACGAACTATGATCTGGGACCAGAATCTTTTCCAGATTTCGAGCATAACATTTAGATCTCACACCAAACAGAACATTAAATCAATGCATTCGAGCTGGGTGTGCACTACATAATGGCAGATACTAGACTGGTGTTGCCTCACTGCCAGCTCTCGTAGAATCCGAACAGACCTGACCTGTTGTCTGAGGACTCGGGCACTGTCAAGACATAGTGACGGCCTGGACTTGTGAGAAATCAACGAACTAGGTTGTGCAACGTAAGTTTCGTCAATCTTCAAGTTGCACAACTGACCTTTTCTCTGCAGCGTGCGCCTGAACCCTCCTCGCCACAATCCTGCTTCCAAACGAGTGTTGATCCAGCGTGCGCCCCAACTCTCCCCGCCACAATCCTGCATCCAAACGAGGGGTCTACGGCCGCCCATTTATTGGGCTATCGCTTGAAGATCGTCCCCGTTAACGCGAAACGGAGACTGTACGAGCAAAGTTGTTGATGAGATCGGTAGCCGTTGACACTGAGTGAGTACATTAGCATCTTTACCCACAGCACCAAACAGACGACTTACCTAAGCAGGATAATCTTCAGCTCCGTCCGTTGGGTGCAATCTTCTTGCCAGCCTACGTTCTGTCCGAGTCCATGCCGCCCTAGCGTCTGCCTTACAGGCTGCTACCCGCCCGACTGTTCTCAACGCGTCACCTCGATTGGAAGGAAGGGGAGTTGCCAGGCAGCGAAGTGAAAGCGGATCTGGTGGGAAAGGTATGAGCTCACCCATGGCTGGGTTCCCGAGTAAGTGGATGGAGACGGGTTTCGTGTCGTATAGACTCTTGATGCCCATGAGAGCTTGAATGAAGAGGGGTTGTGTGAATTTGGAGTAGAGGTGCATGCCGGCTATTGGCATTGCGATGCCCAAGCACACTGAGCGAAGCTGTGGAGAGAAGGGGTTAGATCCGTCGTGTATGATGAAATAGATAGGAGGCAGGGTGGTGGGAGGAGGTGAAGGATGTTCTTGTCGGTATAGACCAGAAGCAAAAATGAAAATATCTTCTTGCGAAATATTGCTCCGGATTTTCGTTTCTGGCTTTTCGCCCAGTACTTTACCCTCCCCGGGTAATCCAT